GAGAGAGGAGTGGAAGGGGACCGAGGAGGCGCGGGGAGGTGGCGCCCTTATCCTCTCCCGCGTCATCGCTGGTGAGGCGGTCCGGCGGGGACGCACCCCTGTAGTGCCGAGGGTCGGATGAGGGAGACGACCGAGGGTGGGCTGGGTTGTCCATTGTAGTAGTGGGCTGCAGTGCACAATGCAGCCTTTTCTCTTTTTTACATTGCATTTTTTTGCGAGAAAAGTATAGTTTTCCCCCTCAAATGTGGCTAATCAGATCAAATACCCCTAAACTCTAAAACCGGTTATTTAACCCTTCAAATCTGGAATACCGGATAAATCTCCCCCTAGAGTGGTTTTGGGGAGGATTTCATATGGTTTTGCCTTTGACATTGTGCCACGCTGCAGTGAACACCAAAAATTCCTAATTTGCCCGTGCTCGACTGCAAGCCGCTGCCGGCCGTCATGTCCGCCACGGGCCGCCTCCCTGCGTCCCCACCTTCGGCCGAGCTCCGCCCCTCGCATCCGACTGCGTCGCGTTCTCGACCAGCCGGCCCCGTAGCCGCCGTGAGCAGCACAGCCGTCTTGCCTCCCCTGCTTCGCCGCTTCGCCTCGCCTACCTCCTGAAGTCTCCGTCAACGGCCGCGTGCGCACCAATTGAGTCCATGGCTGACCTACCTCTTCGATCTGTTGTGGTCGAGTTCTCCGTTGACGTTTCTGGATCGGTGGTGATTGCTGGCGAGAGCGTAAGCCGGTGTCGCGTAGGCGCAACCTCGGCCCATGTACTTTCCGGCAAGCTACGCCCTTGTGCTTTCCGGTCGGATGTGTCCGAGAGACGCTCACGTACAAAAGAGACAAGCAGGCAGGCAGATGGATCGATTCGCACGTGAAGCTAGCTATAACTATAGGTACGTATTCCGGCGAGAGCGCCCGGAGGAACGACGCTAGCTGCCTCTTGCAAGATCGGCGGCAGCCCAATCCGGCCAGATGATTTGGACGAAGGTCCGATCGGGGCGAGGACAAGAAAGGGCAGCCTCCCGGGCGGGGATGCACAACGTTCTATCCACCGGCGTCGCCGGCAATCACGACGGCGGGCCGTGTCGTGCCACACCATATCGCCCGAGCCATCGATGCCGTACGAGTTCGTCCCGGCCGTGCGCGACCTCGGCGCCAGCAACAACGTGCTGCTGCTCTCATGCGTGCTGACGGATGAGACGTAGCACCTGGTGAACCAGGAAGAGATGAAGGCGCTGGGGAAGAACGGCATGCTGGTCAACGTCGGCCGCCGCGGGAGCTCGTCAGGGGAAGTAGGGCGTCATCGGTGGCAGCGCCACACTGAACGTGTTCGAGAGCAAGCTTGACGTGCTGCTGGAACCCTTCTCCATGGACAACATCGTCCTGTCGGCCCTTCGGGCGTTTGTAACCTTGACGCCGCTGTCCATCCGCGACGTGATCGAGCTCGTCATCGGCAACCTTACGTCTGGTAAGTGTTCAGTCAGCGACCTTTAGTCAAAACCGCCTAAAATCCTTATCAAAACCACTCTAGGGGGAGATTTATCCGGTATTCTAGTTTTGAGGGGGTTAAATAACCGGTTTTAGAGTTCGGGGGGTATTTGACCCGATTAGCCACATTTGAGGGGGAAAACTATACTTTTCTCTTTTTTTGCTTTTCCTTTTCAGTAGCAGCCTTTTTTATTTTATTTAGCCACCAAATGACTTTTGTAAAATATGGGACTTTTGCATTATTTGGCACTGCCACAAAAAGTTTGAGGGGCAACGGAATCCATTTGGATTTCTCACAAATAAAATAGCCTTCTAAAATGCTGAAATGACAATATTTTAATTGCTATAGTCCGTCTTGGCTGGAGGTGATGTTGTTTTCCTAAACAATCATCTGATCTGGAATTTTTACCAAATTATGAACTATTTCGCAGGAACTTTTGTGCAAATTCATATTTCACTTTCAAATTTAATTTGATTTCAAAGTGGAATTTCAAATGATACTTGAATCAAAGGTGACCAGGCATTGTTTAGCAAAATTATTAGCTTAAACACAAAGAGTTACTATAGCATGACACTGGGGGTGTTACAAATCTCCTCCACTACAAGAAATCTCGTTCCGAGATTTAAGAGGTAGAGTAAGGGGGAAAGTTCTGGTTACGAAATTCTAACCGATCTTCTGGGTCTTAGCCGCTCTTCTCGAAGAAGTTGATCCATTACGTTGATGTCTTCAATTCACTGCATCAGGGCATCATGATGAAGTCGTCATCCTTTCTTCGAATCTCTATCGTACTTACAAAAGGATAAGAGGGAAAAACTATAAGGACAGAGTGGACGGATTGGCAACCGGTAATTATCTCAGGGAAAGGGATTTTAGAAGCACCAGGAAACATATAGAGAGTGCTATTAAGAGGTTCAACAATTTTCAACCAGGTAGGCATCCACCTGGTGCCTAAACAGGTGATGAAGGGGTTTAGAGCAAATGAAGAATAATGTTGCCTCTGATACCGGAATGGAACGTGGTGAGGAAGTTTGCTCGTGAATCACTTTGTAAGCCAGGTGCGAAGAATATTTCGAAATCAAGATTGTACACGAGAGTCAGGTTTCGATCATGCATGTGGAACTATGGGTTATGCGCCCACCATATGGGTTAAAACTAGGGATGGCGTTGAGATCTTACATAGTCATGATAGCAAGACATGTCAGAGGATATGTTGTCAGTTAGGTTGGCAACAATGTTGGTACCAAGGGCGAGGGACGAAGAGAACCATTTTCCTGCTCGTTAAGACAAGGCGGACCAATAGGCAAAGTTCTCGTCCATCGGTGGCTACCAAAATGTCATCAGCAATAGTAACAGGGTCTTACTGATCGAGTTATACACCGAGGTGTTTACTTAAGCAGGGAATTATCTCTGCTCATATAATTAAGATTTTAGGAAAGTTAAAAAAACAATGGAAAGGAAAATAGGTATACACGAGTATTACATGTATCTCCTTCCCAAGAGCAAGCAGAGAGGGATAACCATGACAGGATGATAAATATTTAACCCTTTAGATAAAAGGGGCAAGGGGAGCCATGGTGTTTACACTAGTAGAAAAAGGACCTAATATGAGAAACATTAGTACCGGTTCGCATATGAGCCGGCACTAATGCACCCATTAGTGCCGGTTCAAATGACTTGGCAGAAGGTGACCTTTAGTACCGGTTCTTTGGGAATCTTTAGTACCGGTTCGTGCCATGAACCGGTAGTAAAGATGCTGGTGCCCGGCCAGCACCTTTAGTACCGGTTCGTGGCACGAACCGATACTAAAGATGTTGTGGCAGGCGCTATTTTAGTCGCACCTCGCTCCTCTAACAAGAATTTGACCACCTTAAGTATGTTACTTCTCAAACTATCCCAAACATTTGGTCTTTATTGAACTCTATGTGTACGATCTGTGGCTGCAATAGGAGTCTTCGCCGGTTCTTAAATCGGTTGTAGATTCCTATTGATGATTTAGATTCTATACAAAAATATCGTTGATGATCAATGTATTTTTTATATGTACTTCTATGTAGTAGCGCATTTTGGCTGAAAGGCGGTACTGATCAATGTAATTTTTCTGCGTTCAGATGCACAATTTAAATATGTTATTTTTCAAGGAGAAGAAGACTAAGAAGAAGGAGAAGAATGAGAAGAAGAAGAGGAGGAAGAAGAACAATAAGAAGAGGAAGAGGAAGCAGAAGAAGAGGAAGAGGAAGAGGAAGAAGAAGAGGAAGAGGAAGAAGAGGAAGAGGAAGAAGAAGAGGAAGAAGAAGAGGAAGAAGGAGAAGAGGAAGAGGAAGAGGAGGAAAGAA